TGAAGCTAAAAAAAATTTATATACATTCGCCACTGATTCTGTAGGGATTAAGGATCGTTCCCTAATTTGGGAGGCGGGCGTCTTGAGAAATGATAAAATTTTTGAAAAATGGGAGAAAGATAAACCCATTGAAGAGAAGGAGATAGAAAATTATCGAGGGGAAATAAAGAGATATGGCTTTAATTTTCATTAAACCTATAATATTATAATTACATGGACCTCTTCACTTACCTTATACCTGATATATTCAAATTTTATTCACAATGTAGAACTAGATGAATCTTAATAAGAGATAAAATTTGATCACTCAAACCTCCCCAACAATTAAATGTTAATAATTCTTATGCATATTTTTTCATACAATCAAATATATAAAAAAGAAATAATGCTATAATATTTAAAAATGTTTAGCAAAATACCAAATTTAGTGTGACAAATATCGATTGCTTTCATTACATTCAATACATATTAATACAACATCAAATCTTTGTCCCCACTAACGTAGGGCTCGGCCTACATTGCTAATAATGTGCTAAAAAATGTTTAAAAAATTGTTTAAGCCACATCGAAAATTTCGGTATTTAATTTGTTAGAATCTTTAAGAAAATATAGACGGACAAGGCACACATCAAACAATCAATTATTGATGCGCGGAGGGGTGCGTATGTAGCAGGAAATGGATGTGTTGTAGGTGCTGCAGCACTATGGTAGTTCATGCCAGAATTGTCGTCGGTTGCTGTCGACATATTTGGCATAAATAAGCTCGTTACAGAAGAAACCCTCCTGTCGTCGTACGACAAATTTATGAGATTTTGGTCTGAATAAGCAAAACTTTTTTGTCGACGAACTTTACGGGATTTCAACTGATTAAAACGTGCAAACGAAAGAGTTGCTTATTCATTCGGCGTCGGCCGGATTACGCATATTTGGCTTAAATAAGCAAGCTTCCATCGTCACTGCTACTTTCGATCGACCAGAGGTCCACAGTCCAGAATAAACACACTCGCGTCTAGTCGCATTCTTACGGGTCAGGTTCGGGATTGACACATAATAAAAGATGACCCGATTTTCAAACCAATGTTGGGTTTAGGTCAACTAAAAAATCAGTTCGCGTCAAAAGTGGGATTTGGACCTAAATTCGACCGTGAACCCGATTTGCACTCCTAATTCTTTATGACTTCTATCCTTTTACATACAAGTACAAACAACATCATTATTCTGTTTCTCTTTATGGCTATATAGAGATTGGTTTCTTTCTGAGTGAAGAAGCATCATCTCAAGTATAGCGAGTACTTGTAAATTGAGAAACACGCCATAGAAAGTCTAGAATGCGAATCTGCTACTGATTAATTCATAGAAGAATTGACAAGAAAGCTACTGCTGGACCCCGAGGCCAGCTCATTGGTTTGAACTTCCTTTCTCAATTCTTATGGCACTGTTGGAAGAAAAATAGTGGGCAAGTTAAGAAAGTGAAGGGACTTGGCTGCAAATTTCATTGGACAATGGTTTGTGTTTAAGATAGCAAATATAGTGATAGCTATAAAGATATATTGAATGATCTCAAACTTTCTAACCATTGGATGGCTATGATTGAATCCACTGAATTCATAAATGGCATTGGAACATAATCGGTTGGGTTAATCGCGGCCATCCCGATGTGGATTGGGGCTGGTTGAATAATCGTTATAATATTATAATGACAATGAATATTTGGGGTTGATGAAACCCATCAATATAATTGAAACGAAAAATAAAATATTAAATTGTGTTTTGTATCAAAACAATATCATCTCGAATATCATTATTGTTACATAAGATTAGTGCACCTATAAATTCTTCAAATACTAATTGTTAAAAATAAAATCCGCGGAATTTCTTAAGTTTCTCTCATAATGTATATCGAAATATTCTTACATTCTTTTCTTCTTTATTATATGGAATTCTTTGATTTTAAGAAGATAGCAAACATTAAACCGATTATTATTAAAGGTATACCGTTTGTGATCACTGACCCTCATGCTATCTTTCTAGAAGCAATTTTATATTTAAAAATTCATATCTTAAGATGTTAGAAATTTTAGTGTATCAAATATCTTGCGTGTTAGAATTAATAATAGAAAGTTGTCCAAAGGAGAAGGACTAAGGCTTCGCTATTGAGACGGGATAGTGTTTTACTGCTTCTTAAAGCAATTTTCTAGTAGCAAAAATTAAAATTTTTTTAGCGAGAAAGCTGTTTTTCAAGAAGCAACAAAAAGCTGTCTCAAACAAAGTCTAAGCATCTAAAATAACTTTCTAGTATTCAAGAAATTTTGACTAAAATTTTATTTTAAGAAGTAATAAAAAAACGTCCCAAACAAAGCCTAAATGAATTCAACGCTCAACTCAACATAATTTGATGAAACTCATATATGAACAGAACTACAAGACATGTTGGGTTAGGGTTAACCTAAGCAAAACGAAATGGTGACTTTGATTTTGCATATTAGCCCTACAAAGCAATAAATATGATGGATAGGTTGGGACTTTTTAGTGAATGAGTACACTTATTTTAAATGATTGAAGTCTAATTTTTCTGGTCCGTTTTAGAGTGCTTAATCATTAATTGTGGCCACCTTAACTATTATTTTAAATTACAATTATTTTTGTTAGGTTAAAATTTGACACCTTATTATTGAAAATTTTATTGAGCAGTCTGTGTGTATAATCCTAAGGCTCTTTTTGGATTAGATTTTTTATTGCTTTTAAAATTAGTTTTTTAGCATAAAATAAAATGGTATACAAAAATTATTTTAAGAAGCAATAAAAAAGTCAATCCAACGTAGCCTAAATCAATTAATATATGTAATTTATTCGGCCAATAGGTTTAAGAGCAGCTGAGGATATAAAAATTATGTGCGTACTAATTTTAAAGTAAATAATTATTTTTATATTTCTTCTAACCCATAATTATTAGAATATTTGACGTTTTTTTTTTGTCGTTAACTATTACTACGCTCTATGATATTCTATAAACTCCACGATGATGCGCTGGCATATTCTATAACACATACCCTCTGGCTTATGTTAAAGCAGCTCCAACTAAGAGGTCTCATTCAGTGTCTCATTGTTGTCTGTTAGTTTCCTTAAAGCGCTATATTTCAAAAGAATGATGAATGTCCTATTCCTCTCTCTCTCTCTCTCTCTTAAAGCACCTTTTTATATTTAAAAGAATGATTTGATTTATTTTTAAGAAATAAAAAAAATAAATTTTAAAGCTCCAAGTTCTATATCCTAGTCAATTCTAGTTTTTAAATAAAGATATGAAGTAAAGTTTCAAAAGTTTGAAGCATCTCATTGATAGATCAAAGAGCTCCAACATTTTAAGTACTATTTATAAATTGAGAACTCAATGAGAAT